ACCCCTGGGCTATCCGTTTGTTATTGCGGTAGATAACGAAGCCGAACCCTGTAGCCCCATTAGGGGCCTTAGAGCCGTCTGAGTAGATAATTATATGGTTGTCTGGCACAGTTTTAACCCAGTCCTGAAACGCTTTAGCTGTCTTCTCCTTATCCTGGCCAGCTGTAGGGTCTTGTGATCCTGAGAGGTGCTGTGGCAGTAGGAGCAACGGCCTTGGGCACTTAGGTAGGAGGGCTGCCGTCATTCCCCCTCAGGCACTATACGCTCGAGTATCAAGCCTACCGCCGGGTGAAGTCGCATTGCCTCAGAAACAGTGGCGATCAGGTATGTAAGCTGCTGGCTCTGTTTCCAAGATACTGGAATGGACAGCCGACCTTCATCGCGGGCTTCATCAAGTTCGGCCATGAGCTTGGAATAGACCCGAGGACTCCTGGTCGTGTAGTAAAGAATAGCACGTAACGAAATGGCTGTCGTATCAGAACCTGCAAACATGTTTGTGATCATGTAGGAGAGAACTTGGCCGTCGTTAACAATGTCGGGATGAGCCTCTTTGGCACGGAAGAATTTGTGGACAAAGTCCAAGCTCGGTCCATTGAGTTGACGTTCATGAGGCTTTTGGTTCTGTTCTGCGATCAATCGCTCTTGTAACCTTCGATTGGCAAACAGAGCTACCGGACCAGTGCAGCGACTGAAACGACAGATGATCGGATTTTTCTTGAGCCAACGGTCTAACCAGGGGACTTGCCCTACGATGGCATTGTAATCCATCGCCGTGTTCAACGCCGCGATGATTCCTTCCAGGTCACGTCCTTCCCGCATGAATCCGAAGGGTCTGCCGCAAGTGAGCTCAGTGATGACATCGAAGGCGTAGAACTGGAACCATTCGAAAAGAGAAACCGGTACTCCGGTACTGGCATATCGAATCTCGAGTTCAGATAGAAGCGACACAATGGCTGAGTCAACGAGCGGCTCGTAGTCGGTCAAGGTCGTCATAGAGTAGGCATTGGCCACGGGCCGTCTGATGCGGGCGTGGAAGGCATCACTGAGCGTCGTAAAGAGTGTTTGGGTCGCTTTTCCGTCAACAAGCTGCTGCTGAACGGCGTAGAAGCCGCTTTTTGGGAATCCATTCTTCACGCTGTAGACCTTTGCGATGTCGGCGGGGTTCCTAATGCTCACCACGCGAGGACCGAGCCGCACGTTGTCGCCAAGCTCATCATGGAGTGCAATTAGGGATGCTTGGTTGTTTCCCTTGCTAACGTTGTAAACGCGGTATAGATTGCTGAGACCTGCCAAGAATGGCCCAGGTACCTTCCGTATGCCAGATGCGAAGTAGTTGCTCACAAGATGAATGAAGGCCAAGCAACCTGCTGCCAACGCTACTTGGAGAAATGCAATGGCCATTCTGTCAATCTGTTCTGGTAATACGCCGGACCTCACTTTGTTTGAACTTTGATGATAGGAAGTCCGTTTGTTTACTCGTAGATCGAGGAGTGACGATGTAATTCCAAACGTGATTTGAGAGCTAGTTACGTTGTGTTAATATAAGCTTGTTGGAACCTGCCTGCGGTGAGAGCGGGAGAAGATTACGACACATTGTTCTTAAATAACGGTCGGAATGTTGCAATGATACGTTCCGAGCTTTCTGGTCCGGTTTCCGTCTCAGAATGAGGAGATCGCAATGATCGGAATTTCGGAAGGATTGGTAATGTCACTTACCCCGCACACAGAACACGGAAGATTTCGACACAGGTTCTACCACGCGCTTTCAAGACGGCGTATTATTGAACTAACGTTTAGTTCACAGACCAAGTGTCGTTCTTTCATACAATTGAAATGGCGACACATTGACCGAGGCTCGAATGATTTGAGGAACTGAACCTGGTCTGGGTTTTCGATTACGTTTTCTTCAGATCATGCCAGACTAGGTGCAGGTGTAAAGACGCTGTGCAATTCCTTTCATCGAGGATTTCCGAGTTCCCACAAGGGTTCAGGGAACCTTCTTATATGGGACAGTGATGATGTGGATAGATCGACTGTCCGGTTTCCGACCGCGACTTAGAGGCGCAGGGTTTATGGTGGTTGGGGTCTTGGTGATGTAAAGTGCGTTGAAAGCTCGCCATAGGTAACACAACCCTCGTTGGCTTATCTATGGGAGAGCGGACGGGATCCCGAGTTTTCCAATGGGTATGGTCGTATGTGTTGGGAGATGCGGAAAGAAATGATTATGAAGGGCAAGGTGACAGTCCTGCGAGCGTCCTTTCTTGGGAACCAAAGCCAG